AAAATTATAATAAAAATTGATTGCGACGTATGTGCCTGAATAAATAGCATTAGATTAAAAAGTGTGTTATGGATTAAATATCTTAATTACTCCTAGATAAGATAGTGGGCACATATTCATACTTGAACAACCTCTTTATAAAAAAGTGCTACAGGAGAACCATACTCCTCCATTGGTACAATTGAACTGTTCTGGACTGTTGGACGATTTCACGTCCAATTTCATTTTAATAAATAATGGTCTTTCATATCACCATACTGAAATATCAGTAACAACCATGCAGGGAGTTCACAGAAAAAAACTCAGAGTGATGTAATATTCTAGACAGCATAAGATTATAACGTCGTTCACACAATTATTAAGATTCACAGAGCAAAAAAAAATCTTTTGAGTTTAAAAAAACTGATTATGTGCTTCTGCCAAAAATACCCAAAAGATATTATTGGCACTGATAACAAATTAACCATTTTATTTATAGAATTTTTTTTGGCACTGATAACAAATAAGGAAAGAAGAGAGGTGATGCTTATTACGAGCTACAAGAAGGAAATCATCACGATATATTGTTTAGTCGTTTTGAAGTTGTCATTCCATTATCTTTTTATATAAGTTATTTTATCATGAATATTTCATAAGTAGAGGAGTTAATAATAACTGCAATAAAATTAAATTATAATCAGCTTCTAAAAATTATGTTTTCTATTAAAATCAATTATTTTTTGAAACCAACTATAAGCTATTAGCATGATTACCTTTGAGGCAAAGCGAAAGAAATAATTTATTTTAAAAAAAATAGATTTAGTTAACCTCACACAAATGATCAATTTATCGAATTCATTTCTACTAATGAAAATAAATTTGAAATAAATCGCACTTCCCATATCAAATATTCACAAAAAATAATTTGTTGATTCCAAATATAAACATAAAATTATACTGATATACATAATTTATTATGGAAGAATTTCGGTAGACTCGCAGGCATCCAGTGAGATTAGCTGTCATTGTTGACACGGGTTCTGTGCATTGTCGGTTGGACGGTTAGCTGAAATTACGATGATGTGCAGTGGTGCGCTAAGAACTGCACGAAAAAAAGTGTCCCATAACATAAACAAATATATACACGTTGATTATGTCCCAAAGGACTTCTGTATGCACGCCTTATTTGAACACTTTACCAACGTTTCGTTTATGTAACTCCAGTTCTTCTTCCTTTACGTTACGTGATAATGTTACTTCCTCTTACTTTTTAACCTTTTACGCAATTATGTCGCTTACAATGACAACGTAAGCCAAAATATATACAAAAAAATGTCTGCAAAAAGCTGGGAGAAACTATAAAGAAGAAAGTTAAAATTTAACATATTTGCTGCATTACCAACATACCGGCATATGCAAAGGAGGTGTTTTGTTACAATTACCGTAAAGGACTTAGTCACTACAATAGTAGCCAGCATGGGATATTCTAACGACAACTGGCAATTGTAACTAAGAGAAGACCCTATTTGAGTTATATTTTGTTAAATTCAATGAAAGATTTAGGGTTTGTTTTACAATACACACTTAACCGAAATAAACCCTAAAAGTTGAATATAGTGCACTAAAAAGTGAGTTTTAGTATCAAATCGACAGTTATATGTGCATTGCAAGATTGTGTTTTAATATCACGAACAGGTACTGAGTTAGTTGAGGTCGAGTTAGTAACGAATGCTCCTCAATTAGCTTCAAAAGCCGTTCTGATTAAACTCGATTTCATACTCCCAAAGACTAGTTTGCTAGTTCAAGTTTCTTTTCGTGTTGATCCCTAAGCAATCCTTTATATAAAATCTTAATCACATCAAGATTCACAACCACCCATTCAAATAGATAAAAACAAAAAGTATCCGGATTTGGTTGTTTGTTAACTACTCCTTAAGTAATAGACCTTTTTCCAAAATTTTTTTGTTATATTGGTACACCCTTTCTTGACATATGGTGTACCATCTGTCAATTTGAGCGCAGTCTGTCAATTAGTTTGTTTACAGCAGCTGTTAATGTGAGACTACCTCAAGTGCATTTAGCGATTTTTACTATGGAAAATTCTTGTTGTACGCGATTTTTTGACCAAACTCGGCACCACTGTCATCGCTCAGACACCTTATTCGTCAGATCTGGATCCGTGCAACTTTTTCCTGTTCCCGAAACTTAAATCGTGGTAAGCGGTTTAAGTCGATTGAATCGGTAAAAGAGAATTCGCTGAAGGAACTAAAAGCCATACCTGCACGGGCCTATGAAAAGTGTATGGAAGATTGGGTTAAGCGTTGGCATATGTGTATTGCTTCAGAAGAAGCTTATTTTGAAGGAGATAAAATAAATTTGATATAAAATTTAAATTTGAGTGTTTTATTTACAAAATTCGAGTACTTTTTGAGCAGAAGATATAATCAGCACTCTTCTACTTTCATCTACAACCGATATTACTTCCTAAAAATGGAGTTCTCTGAATTCTTTTTTGCCATGCATAATCGGTAAGCGTATAACGCATACTTCTTTTTTATTTTTTTATCCTTGTTTTTGCAAGGATAAGACTTACAAATTTTAAATGGTGTAAAGCAACTAAAAAGTGCACATTACGCTTGACATTGAATGAGTGTCCTTTTTGCATGCAACAGTTTTAATAGCAACAGCA